ATATAACAACAATATCTCATTTTTCTATCCCATTTGTTCATGATAATATGTTCCATCCCAATTTTCATGATGATATAATACAACATCGAAATAAATCCAACCACCCAATAGCGCAAGGATGCGCAAGGTATTTTGTCCGCTTGACCCAGATCTCCATGTCACGATGGCAAGGTGAAAGCTATGACCAAGGCAGAGGAGAGTGGCCAAAAGGGCCCAAGGGCTGTTGAAGACTGTTGGAGTGGTTTCCAGAGATTAAATCATGATAGCTTATCACATGTATCACATGTATCACATGTGTATGTATATATGAGTAACCGACAAAGATATATAGTAATACTGATTCAGTCTTGCTTCGCCTGCAACTTGCCGCACCTTGTGGTGCAGGACCACATGTACCTCTTCCACATGCTGGACACTGGCGTTTTCGCTGGGGAGCCCAGGGTACATCCAGTTGGTTTTGCCTAAGCATGGAATCTAACCTCAAAATGGCGATCTTTAGCGGGAAAAAAACCATATCACTGAAGTTTCCGGGCACACTATTTGCAGACATTTCCAGATGCTTTATTTGGTCGGACCCTGTGAATGGTATATGTGTTGCGTCTTTGGGTTGCCAGTAAATGCACCGATACTTTCAAGTGGCCCAATCTGCCAAAGCCAGTTGCAAGGCGCTTGCATGCTCCAGATGCTTAGTGAAGAATCCCCCTGGATGTGCATCCCAGTTAGCAAGTGGTTAAGAAACCATATAAAACCTTTTCCGCCCATGACCGGGTACTCACCATAGCCGCGACAAACTGGAGTGCACCTTCAAGATCCTGAAAGTACCTGTATGATTTCCAACCACTTGTCACTTGTTACATCCGTAGACCGTCGTCCCATGCAATATGATCACAAAATGCTCAGGGGTTGATCTTGAAGATTCTGGAGCAGAGTGGGGATGCTCAGAGGAGTCAAGGGATGTCAATGGATGAGACCGTCAACACCATGTTTTCGTAAATCATATCCTGTTGTCTCGCTTTGCTGGGGGTTTGAAGGCTAAATCAGTTGTTTTTATGAAAGAAAAACAAACAAACTGATACATAAAATGATGCTGATGTTTAGAGAGGCCATTTTTTTAAGGAAGATTGAACGCCCATGGTAAGTCCATGCCGCCATCCCATAACATGATGAAACACGCGAAAACTCACCAACCACGACAATAAGGAAAAGGAAAACGGTCCTTCTAAGTCATTCTATGATCTGTGCTCTGAAATTCTGGGATGTTCCACTTCCATGTTGGTTTGCCGGAGACACATTATAATTATACTATCTATAATCTATAGTGTTTGCATATATATATATGCATAGTCATATGTGTCTATGTATTATTTATCTATATATATATATATATATGCATTATATACATACATATATAATTATATATACATGTATTATAAATATATAATTATATATATATGTATTGTACATATATATGTGTGTGTGTGTTTGCGCGTATGTTTTTTTTTTTTAATAATTATATATATATTGAATTTATGTATATATATATATGTATTATATATATGTAAGATATATATATATATATATGTATGATATATATATATATGTATGATATATATATATATGTATGATATATATATGATATGATATATATATATATATATATGATATATATATATATATATATATACATGATATATATATATATATATATGATATGATATGATATATATATATATATATACTCTTGTGTGTTTGTGTGACATCCACTTCCAAGTTAAGCAGATTAGTGGGTGGGGGCGCCACGCTGGTCGAGGTTGCCAGCCCCCATCAATGGGAGGAGGCTTATTGGCTGCGAGCCCAGTTCCAGACTCCAGATTGCTCCAGAGTCGTACACTATAGTCATTTAATGTCATCTATAGCCTGTAGCCGTCCATAGTACATAGAACATTATAGAAGTTGATAGTTAACATTATAGAACATAATCACATTGTATATACAGATATATATGAATATGAACAATTATGTTTGGGTCATTATATTGACATTATAGAGAACATTAACTACCAATTTGGTTGTGATTTGGGCTGTTCTCATTGTGAGACGTCCAGTGGCCCATACCCGCGGCTCGACTATTCCGATCGTGAACCACCGGAGAAGACATAGATTTTGCGTGACCAGTGCCGCACCACGATCGTGAACCAATAGAATCAATAGACATGGCCCTTGCAACTAACATTTATAGTCGAGGATCCCCCCATCTTTGGACAAACCTGTGCAAATTTCCTGAGGCTTTGGACCTGGATCTGGATCTCAAGAGTATTTTAGATGTGTTTATTTACCGCTGTTGAGGCAGCCGCAGTCTCCGAACTTCTGGAAGTGATCCGGTTACAGAATGTCCGGGAGCTCGTGTTGGTGTCAGGTGGAGTGCTCGAATGAGTTTCTGCAAACCAGGAAAATTCTCGGTGGGAAATTCGACCTTGAATATAATTACTTGGAATTATTCTCTGGACACGGAATGTGTTGTTTTTTTTTTTACCCTCTGGTAAACTAACATAGCTATTGAAAATGGCCATTTATAGTGGATTTTCCCATTAATAATGATGATTTTCCATAGCTATGTTAAATTACCAGAGGGTAATTGGGGGAATGCAACCGCATCCAAGCGCAAATCCATATGTTTTTGATCCAAGGCCAAGCCACTGGTCTGGCACATTTGCACCGAATACGAAGGCGCCACAATGGTGGCACCGGAAGCGGGGGAGTTGCTAAATGGAAGTTGGGATGGTGGCAAGCCTGCTGGTGATGATGAGGATGATGATTTCATGATGATGAATGATGATTTCATGATGATGATGATGATGGTGATGTTGGTGATGCTGATGATGATGATGATGGTGATGATGATGATGATTATGATGATGGTGATGATGATGACGACGACGACGATGACGATGACGATGACGATGATGATAAACCATGATGACGAACATGACGACTCGGTATGTATCCTTTGGCAAACTTGTTCGGCAGCTGTATATAGCATGCTTTCAAGAGCAAACATATTGCAGTAACTTTGATATTGCACAGCGCTGAACAGCTTGAGGCAGTACTTGTACCATACCATACCATTAACATCCATGAAGACATGAAAGGAAGTTTCTCCAAGATGAGCCAGGCATCCTACGCTCCTTGGCGCCCAGGCTCAAGGCACTTGGCTTACCGGCTATCCGTGAAAACAGGATGCAAAAGACCAACCATGATGAGCCAGTCATGAGGATACAATTGGCACAGTTGGATCTACAGTCATCGGAATGCCAAAACAGAGGATTGATTTGTCGGTAAATTTCGGCGAAAGAACTTGTTTTTTTTCTACAATTTTGTCAGCTGTAATTGTTTTCAGAAATTTGTCACATATTTTTAATCATTTTGGCAAAATCTTTCCTACGTAAGTTGTTTGACCTATTTCATTGTGTTATCATTGGTCTTAAGATGGTCTTAAGCAATTGTCCAACCTATTTGAGCAGCTTCCCATTGGCCATGGCGTTTATGATTCTTTCGGAACGATTTCAAAAGGAGTCCTTTACTCAAAAATGCACTTCAGGGGCTGGATCTGACCGGCTACACTTTTGGATGAAATTGTGACCACTAACCACTACGTCCTTACTTTTCATTGTTCCCCACCTGCCAGGTGAGGGTTGTTAGATTTTATCAGAGTTGTTCTCCTCCTCGGCTAGCTGTCCTCCTCGTCCTCCTCCTCCTCTTCCTCCTCCTCCTCCTCGTCCTCCGCCTTCTCCTCCTCCTCTGCCTCCTCCTCCAGTTTCTCCTCGACCATGTCTGCATCAACTTCCACCTCAACTTCCACCTTGCCAACTCTTCGCCAAGCTCTTTGCCAACTTCCCAGCTCAGTGTGCACCGCTGGACCTCAACCTGGGACCAAACCAGCTCAGTGTGCACCGCTGGACGTCAACCTGGGACCTTCCCAGCTCAGTGTGCACCGCTGGACCTCAACCTGGGACCTTCCCAGCTCAGTGTGCACCGCTGGACCTCAAAAGCCAGATAGAATGCCAGAAGATATGCCAGATAGAATGTCAGATAGAATGCGAGAAGATATGCCAGATAAAATGCCATAAGATTTGCCAGAAGATATGCCAGATAGAATGTTAGAAGATATGCCAGATAGAATGCCAGAAGGTATGCCAGATAGAATGCCAGATAAAATGTCAGATAGAATGCCAGAAGATATGCCAGATAAAGTGCCAGAATGTTTGCGAGATAGAATGCCAGAAGATTTGCCAGATGATATGCCAGAAGATATGCCAGATAGAGTGTCAGATAGAATGCCAGAAGATATGCCAGATAAAATGCCATAAGATTTGCCAGATGATTTGCCAGAAGATATGCCAGATAGAATGTTAGAAGATATGCCAGATAGAATGCCAGAAGGTATGCCAAATAGAATGCCAGATAAAATGTCAGATAGAATGCCAGAAGATATGCCAGATAAAGTGCCAGAATGTCTGCGAGATAGAATGCCAGAAGATTTGCCAGATGATATGTCAGAAGATATGCCAGATAGAATGCCAGAAGATATGCCAGAACATATGCCAGAAGATATGCCAGGTAGAATGCCCGAAGATATGCCAGATCGAATGCCAGAAGATATGTCAGATAGAATGCCAGAAGATTTGCCAGTAACAAAACGTATAAATGTCATGATGGGGATGACTCGAAGTAAAGTAATTTTCTATACTTGTTTTTTTCTGGAAATGGTCGTCCAGGATGACCAATCCGTAAAGAAAAGTAAACAAATATTATACATTTGCGATATTCCCAGACTTGATTGCAGGTCAATCTGCAGGAAGTTTATATTTGAATTGAAAAAAAACACTGACTGTTTCCCGCAACACCGCAGCACTGTGAATGTTCAATTAAACCATATCTTTGAGATCTCGGGATCGCTCTTTCGCGTGGTCAATTTGTGGTGCAGCTTCAGCAGGGTGGGCATGCCAGGCGATTTGGTGTATGCTGAGCAGTTCACCCCTCATCCACATGAAAGAATATGGTTTCATCAATGTCAATGCCAGATTGATGAATACCAAGTTGAATAGTTCCCAGTTTGTATATAAATAGGGGGGTTACCATTTCTTTCATGCTACTTAGATACTCCACATATTCTCCACATGGACCTCAAATGAACAGATCCACTACAAAGACAGAGTTTCGAGCGGAGCTTTCCCCGGGGAGGTGGCAGAAGCTTTGCTGGCGCGCCATGAGAAAAATCGTGAGGAGGAGGCCATTCATCGCGGACGACTTCGAGAGACCCAGGGATGAATGGGGGGCTGATGCAAACATCCTACAAAATCCTACAAACATGTCCTGGTATTGCTCCATCGGATGTTTTGAGTCACTGGTATAGTTTCTACACCAATTGCTGATGGTTCGTTTGCTGTCTCGTCTCCTGGATCTTTCACAAGTGGGACTAGGAGATCCGTTTCCAAGTAACAGCTTAGATTTTGGGGGCGTACGTATTTTTTTCAGACTCGCTGAATGCAAAGGAAAGCTATGGAAAGCTTATATTTAGTCATAATATTAATTTAATTTATGTTGTGTTGTGGTAGGTACACCTGAATAAATGTTAGTGGATCAAGTTCCCAATTCCAAGTGACATCCACCAGTTTCAGGTGAATTCCACCAAGTTTAAGGTGAAAATCCACCACTTTAGACGGTCGAATCTTGAATTTTGCCGTGTAGATTGCCAATTTTATTAAAACTTACATCGGTCATCATCCATCAGTATTGTAGCTACATCATAGTTACATCTGCCATTTTTATCCATTTGCCAGTATTGTAGCTACGTCATAGTTACATCTGCCATTTGTATCCATTTGCCAGTATTGTAGCTACATCATAGTTACATCTGCCATGCTTATCCATTTGCCAGTATTGTAGTTACATCATAGTTACATCTGCCATTTTTATCCATTTGCCATTTGCCAGTATTGTAGCTACATCATAGTTACATCTGCCATTTTTATCCATTTGCCATTTGCCAGTATTGTAGCTACATCATAGTTACATCTGCCATGTTTATCCATTCATTTGCCAGTATTGTAGCTACATCATAGTTACATCTGCCATTTGTATCCATTTGCCAGTATTGTAGCTACATCATAGTTACATCTGCCATGTTTATCCATTTGCCAGTATTTTGCCAGAGTAGCTACATCATAGTTACATCTGCCATTTGTATCCATTTGCCAGTATTGTAGCTACATCATAGTTACATCTGCCATTTTATCCATTTGCCAGTATTGTAGCTACATCATAGTTACATCTGCCATGTTTATCCATTTGCCAGAATTGTAGCTACATCATAGTTACATCTGCCATTTGTATCCATTTGCCAGTATTGTAGCTACATCATAGTTACATCTGCCATTTGTATCCATTTGCCAGTATTGTAGCTACATCATAGTTGCATCTGCCATGTTTATCCATTTGCCAGTATTGTAGCTACATCATAGTTACATCTGCCATGTTTATCCATTCATTTGCCAGTATTGTAGCTACATCATAGTTACATCTGCCATTTGTATCCATTTGCCAGTATTGTAGCTACATCATAGTTACATCTGCCATGTTTATCCATTTGCCAGTATTGTAGCTACATCATAGTTACATCTGCCATTTTATCCATTTGCCAGTATTGTAGCTACATCATAGTTACATTCGCCATTTGTATCCATTTGCCAGTATTGTAGCTACATCATAGTTACATCTGCCATTTGTATCCATTTGCCAGTATTGTAGTTACATCATAGTTACATCTGCCATTTTTATCCATTTGCCATTTGCCAGTATTGTAGCTACATCATAGTTACATTTGCCATTTTTATCCATTTGCCATTTGCTAGTATTGTAGCTACATCATAGTTACATCTGCCATGTTTATCCATTTGCCAGTATTGTAGCGACATCATAGTTACATCTGCCATTTTTTTTAATGTTTATCCATTGTCTAGGTGCCCAAAACGGACTTGTTTTTTGGGGACGGCTGGACGCCTTCGGAAAAAACCACCGGACGCCCTCGGTACAGGCGGAACGGCGGCACAAGGCCAAAGCCTCGAATGCCTTGCGACGCATGGCGCGGGGCCACCGCCTGGATGAGACAGAGCAAGGTGCCACGTTGCAACAGAAAGACATGGAAATTCGGAACTTGAATTCGTTGGATGTTAGATCTGTTCGCTAAGTTGGTTTCAAAGTATTGGATATTATATGATACCAGGTAATTTCCATGGTTGATGTACCTTGATGGGTATTATAACAGTGCTGGGTAAATGAACCAACAAAACAAAGCGTTCGGGAGCACCGCACCTTGAAATCCAGAAATGGTGGGTTGATGGTTGAAACTCTTGATTCAACGTATGATTTCACCATCGCTGTGGTGTCAAAATGTGCTACCATATAACCATCAAACATGGAGGTATAGTTGATAAATGATGCATGGTAAATGATGCATGGTTACTGTAATGATGAAAGATGGTGTTTTTAACCTACCTGGTTTATTTAGGTTTTCACTGACCAGTCATGGGGAATTCTCAACCAACCAATGCTTTTTGACACAAATTGATTGGTCTGAAAGTGCAATAGATTCACCAGAATCCAGTTTGATTTGCTTATGTTCAAACCACCAGTTTCCTTATTAACACTCATAAATTTGAGGTTAATGCCCTATTGGCACACACGCACCCAAAGAGGTCGAGGGTTGTGTTGCTTTTTGAGACGGAATTTGGGTAGATTATGTTGTGACCCACTGGCCCACAAAACCCAAAAAGATTGAGTCACCCCGAAAGTAGCTTGAATTTCGGATTTAAGAATAACAATCATTTGTCCAGGGCCCAGATGATATAAACGATGCTTTTGGGCTTGGTGTTAGCAATGTGGTAGTAGAATGTAAATGTTAGACAATGTTATATAGATACATTTGGATACTGTTAAAAATGTTCTTTGTATTTCGTTTGTAGCCACATCATGTGAGTGACCACGCTTGGTGCCCCACATTGGGGGAACTATCCCACCAAATCCAGTAATGTTGACCTGGGTCTAATCACCCTCCCCCTTTTGAACCCACTCCCGGAAATAAACCTGCATCGGGACATGTATTTGAGAGTTTTAGTATTGCCTAACAAATTGCCTAGTTGAAAACAAATACATGTTTGTTAAGATAACAAATTGCCTAATTGAACACTGAACACAAGACTTGCCGAACAAATTGCCTTATTCAACACAAAAAATGTTTCAGTTGTTTATAGTCTATAGTTGTTTGACGTTTTTTCTTTGAACTGGTTTGCAGAGACCCCCAACACTCAACGCTGGCATACTTTATTCACAGAGGATTCTTATCTCCGCCGAAGTTGGCCGTTTTTTATTCAACAGGGGTTTCCTAATCCCACCTTTTTATAACGTTACGTATTCTTTTGTACCAGCATCGCAAGGGGAAATCCTTTGGTTACAGGAAACAAATTTGCAAATTCATTTAGCCAATCCCTTGATTGTGGGAGAATCACAAGTTGAATGATATACATACACACACACATATATATATATACCATAATATCATGATATATCAGATATTATGGGATGGTCATAGCTCCATCAAGATGGAATTTTATGGAATTGTAATGTCCAAAGATGCGAAGGATTCCGCATGATGCGATGACCATACCCCAAACATCGCCCGAGTTTATGCTGTCAGGTGCAACGGATGTGCCCGAGACGCGGGGTCCTCGGGGCCCTCGGTGAAGCGAAGACTTTTGGGTGTGTCATGTCTACGCAAGTTGGCGTAGTGTAGTGACTAGTGCAATGTAGTGCGTATGCAATATGTACATATGATACAAGTATACAATAAAAGATATGTGTGTAATTTATACTGATATTATAGATGTACTATAGACAATATTGATATTATAGAGAGAGAGAGAGACTCCAAATTAAATGCCATATATTCCCAGCAATTTTTGCAGCTTAGTCCACCGAGGCCCATGCAGGGAATCCACTGGTCATCGGATTTGGGAAGCTGAAGGTCCAGCTATACAAGTTACATGGTATTTCGATATAAACAGGGTACCAAGGTGAACTTACTCATAGCTACTGGAGGCTTCCGGCTAAGTTTTTGCAGGAGGGTGTCTGAGATTTCGCTAGCGTCAGTTCACTTTCCAGTTTTTCGGACGGCTCTTTAGTGTTAGGAGAGTAGCACTGAATCGGACGGAGTCTACAAAACAGTAGCTACATTGCCATTTCTTGAATATCCTAGAAGGTCGCTCCCCTAGTTATAAGTTGATTTATACGCCCATCTAACTATGAGTTATGATATCAATAAACGGGTGTTAACCTATAATTAATTCATATTAATTCAACCTATATAGCCAACTATGGGGCACCATCTTCTTGCAGTAGAGAGAGAGTCCTCCTGGTGCAAGAAATTGGACAGGACCACAGCCTGGCCTAATAGATGACCCCCAATGTCATCACAATCCATTTTTGTTCACAACATGTTCCACCCAACAAACTCTGATTGGAGTTTTGCTGGTCCCATTCTCACCACTTTGAAGTTTCAAATTCTTATGCAACCGCAATGTAGTTCCAATTCCGTCCAATCTGTCCGGAACCTGGTTTACCATTTTGTTCATCCATTTGGGCTTCATTGGTTGACCATTTGTTTACCTAAGAGACCATAAAAACCATGGCTAAATCCCGCTTTTTCATGTCACTTCCCCTCTTTCGACCTGAGGCGTGCAGAGGCCTTAATCCATGGGGATGGGATGGGTGGTTTTCCACTAAAATCTTCGAGAAATCGTCGATACCACTTCAGGATGACCCCAAGATTCGTTAAGGAATATGTAGGGGAGAGATTCCAAGAGACCGTGATTTGGAAGATGCATTTTTTTCTCGAATGGATTTCGTTTTGTGCTACCGTCTGCACATTAAATTTTTGATGCCGTTTTTTGGGTGACCACCAGCGAATCTTCAATTTCAAGATTATGCTATATTGTGCTCATATCTATAGTATAATTTCCAATTTGGCCCATTCAAACACACGTTTTTTTTTGTCGTTTTCCTAGAAACAGGTGCAGGATGCTCCGACCGTGGAGGAAGTGGAGGACAAAAAGCGCATGGCAAATGGCAATGTTGTGTTTTGATGATCGATGCACGTTGACAACTTTCCGTTTCAATGGGGGGGTTCTCCATCCACTAGGTTCACTTCAAGGGTGGGTGGTAGATGTATAGATAGATGATATATCAGAAACCGTCAAAAAAAACATAGGCCGTACAACCAACATCAATGGAGATGTCGTTTATAGAATCAACAAACTGATGTGCATTCCAGACGTCCCAGTTCGAAAACGTGATTGATCGCCATGATGAAACTGGTGCAGGATGATTCTGTGGCAGGGAGCCGGCCTCAGAGGGCGGGCGTTTGGAAAATGGAAGGAGAATCTAACGTGGGGATGGGTCAATCAAAACCAATTACCATATTTTGGGGAACAACTATCCATTAACCAGATATTTCAGGATACCTAGGGTACCAGAGTTTTGACCCATAGTTGAAAGCTCTTCCGGCCAATGTAAGCTGGTTGGTGGTTTCAAACACGTTTGATGTTCGCAATTTAAGGGATGATCTCCAAGGACAGTTCTTGAAATCCGATGCCTGCGATGGGAGGTTCTATGGGATGTAATGGGATGCATCAACTTCAATATGATATGTGGGCATGTCATGGCATGTCTCAAAATGGATATTTTCCCCTTGACATTTGAACATATTTGAACGACACTCACTTTGGACATGATTGAGGACAGCATCCGACAAGTGGCGCAAACAGGTTTTCCACACAACCAGCTGGAATCAAAGCTTTGGCACTCAGAACTACAAGTATTCTCAGCCACACCCCAAGATGTACTTCTTTGGAAACTACCAAACGGCAAGGCTGTAGGAGAAGATGGATGCGAAGAATGGCTGGGACTTCTCCGAAAACTTTGTGCTCCCCAAACACCACCGTGGCTCTCTGGTCAAACCTTTGCTCAAACCTGGAAAACAAGGTCGTACACACAACGAATTTAGGAAACTTAGCTTAATGAGCGTGCTCAGGAAACACTATTCTTATGAAACCTTTTTGGACGGCTGGGGCTTACCAAGGGGTGGCTTTAAACAACACAAACGGACTACGGGTGGAATTTTCATCCTCTTGGCCACTATAGCTGCAACCCTCTGGCCTCTCCTAGATGCTGACCCTGAGTGTCACGAACGTGGCCTTTTGCTTGTTGATGTTGAACCATTTTCGACACTTCGACAAGAACGACTGTTTCATAAAATGCAAGTAGCTGGGCTTCCTGACAATGGAATCATGTTGTGGAAAGAACTAGCCCAGACGCACTCTGTCCAGGTGGTCTCCAGGACAACAAGGGGTGAGTCTATCAAAACACTTGTTGGTGTCCCCCAAGGGTCGGGATGGTCCCCAGAACTTGCAACTTTATATGTGGATATCGGACTCGCTCAGCATTTACAAGAGGCACAGTCAGGAGTTATTGTGTTACCTGGTGGAACCTATGTACATTTGCTATCATTTGCTTATATGTATGCCACGACTTGCTCACCAATCTCTCCAATGTAGGCTTGCAGGAACAGTTTGATACCATCGAAGGCACATCGGAGCAAGATGGACTGCGAATCTCTCATCCCAAAACTGAACTGACCGTCTTCCCAACCCGAGGGTCTGGTCAGCAATTGGACAATCCACGGTGTGGGGAAATCTACGAATCACACCGTGGTTGGACAAAATACCTAGGGTTTTATGTCGAGGCATGTGGGTATTAGCAATGGGAAGTCAATGCTGAAAGGCTTGACGTGGCTGGGAAACACCCCTTGGTGACGAATGAAATGCGAAACAATGTTTATTCTGCAAAGGTAAGGTTTCCGGATGTTTCCGGCTTTACTTGGGTCTGACATTTCGGGCTGGCGCCGAGCACATCGACTCGACAAAAGTGATAGCAAATCTCTACGTATCTTGACAAGAGCGCACAGCAGGACAAAACTTGAAGCTATGCTGTGGCTCACTGGCTTGCATACAATTTGGGTCCTTGCAGCAACCCAAGCCTTCAAGTTTTTGGTTTCAATCTTGGAACACGGGGATGAACTGGAGGCCGCTTGGGAACATTGGAAAGCAAGCTGCAGACAAGGGCGGGGCTGGGCTT